AAAGTATCCCAGGCCCTGTAGGGTTCCAGATCAAAATGTCCAACTTTACAGCAGAAATAACTCTGTTTACAAGCTCTTAAATATTTTTAGTTATGTGAATAGATACTGCTTGCACAAAACGGGGTGTCAAACATAAGGTCTGAAAAAGAGTTGCCTGCTAGACATCTTTGACAGATATGAAGGGGGCACAAATTTTGGGAATTTTAACGATATTTCTCTACGTTTTACAGCTTTTCCTCCTGGTAAAGACCCCCCCCCACAGCCATTCATATCACAACAAGGGGATTTTCAGCATTATACCAGACAGTTACACTGTACACTTCATGAATGCAGCTTGCTAACCAGGCTGGCTTGTGTTAACGGAGATTTGATTGGTTGTGCTCACTCATTTACTGTCAGTAAGTCAGTAATCATTAGGTTAAGAAATATGAAGGCAGTGAGCCTGCACTGCAATTTAACTCCAGTTCCAGTTCCAGTACGTTGGTTTGTATGCAGTAGTGCAGACAGGTGGAAAGTTGTTAGCAAATTTACATTTTAATTCAAGCTACCTTTTTAAAATGTAGAAATGTAAAAACTACAGATGTAACCATGTTATTATCGTATTTAAGTCAGCCTTCTTGGGGAAAATGGTCTCCTCTGCTTGTGTAGGCTCATTTTGAGAACTCCCTTTTAGACACAAGAGAGAAAACTCAAAGCAGACATTTGGCGTTGAAATGCCCGCAGGCTGAGGAGACAGATGATGGTTAGAGATTTGACAAAACCCCAACAATAACCAAGGGAACAAATGCAGAGAAAGCTGAAAAGTGATTGGCCAAACGATGATGTAGGGACAGCGTGTGACATTTGCTTCTTAGGAAGTGACCCAACACCTCTAACATGGTGTCCAGTGAACTCATAATAACCTCCTTCAGCAAAAAGTGCTGATGTGGTCGGACGGGGGTTAGGGTAAAACACTAATATGTTCTCAAGACACAGCTTCAGTAGAGAAAGACATGTGTGTGTGTGTGTGTGTGTGTGTGTGTGTGTGTGTGTGTGTGTGTGTGTGTGTGTGTGTGTGTGTGTGTGTGTGTGTGTGTGTGAACAAACTGTCTTGTATTTAAATACAAAGGAGAAAAATGGAAATGTACTTTGAGTCTGGTTAAGGCTTTCAGTTCCAGACCCCTGGTTCAAGTATTTGTATCAGGATTTAAACAGGTCAGGTATTTGGCACACAGTTCATTAGATTGTGTATCAGAATCAACTAAAACAGAACATTGTGACAGCAACAAACACGGACAGGAAATAATTTGAACAAAAGCCAAGAAATACATATGTTTTGAAAGCTTACATGGTAACTTGAACCAACTGCTGCAGATATTTTACATTAGATTGACCATATATAAACTGCATCATCGCTCTCTTCTAAAGTCACTTTTCTAACCAGTCCCAAACGTGTCACTCCTGATTTCCAAAAGCCTTTACAGCATTCAACTCTGACATCCCAGGGCTGCGTACTCTGCTCCATAGTTTCCCCTGTGAGACCGTTTTAGATTTATCAAAAATTGCTGAGAAGCTTTCACTGCGTGTACAGTAGCACAGCATGTTGTCATCAGCTCTCAAACTATTCTGTTCACCTGTCCCTCCCCACTCTGTGGCATCCCCGCACACACGGAGCTGTGTTTGACCAACAAACAGACACAGTAACACAAAGTTACTGAATGGAGACAAACGGCCTTCTTCACTACCATGTGACAGAAATGCAGGAGCCATGAAGTAAGAAATATAATATTAAAAAAAAAAATTGCTACATTTGAAATCAGTTTAACATTATTAACAGGTTATACAATAGTTTATACGTTTGACCACCATTGTCAATCCTTGTGATCACTGCCAAGCAACATGATTGAATCTTTATAATGTTCAGCTTTTCCTTTTCTGAGCTGAACAATCCATTTCAGCTCACTTAGCTGACATTTGCTTTTAGCTATCACGTTTAATTGGGGCAGGGAGAGCACTGTTCATGACTGCTGGTCATTAGAACAGCTCAAGTTCACCTAACATGTGAGTCTCCAGCATCATCACCTGATTTAAGATAAACACATGAACCCAGCTGAATTTCACTGAAAGGGTTTTAAGTGCAGTTAATATTACATGTAATCACTCATCAAATTGAATCTTTTCTGCAGTGTGAGTCACTCCATCTGGTTTTTCTGCACTGCCACATCATCCCAGGCTTCATTCCTAGTAGCTGGACAGAGAAACCTGACACTAAGGATTCAGTTAGGAGAGGTCACACAGAGGTCAAGGCCAATGTCCAAATATCAGGAGCAGCTGATTAACAAGCTCAAGGTGTTGCAGTCGAAGAGTTTGACCCCCAAAATTTACTAGTGTCTGACATCAATCATGATTTTGTACCAGTACCAGACTTTGTAAGTATAGATTTTTTCTGAATGTCAGGTTTGAGAAAGTTGGCTTTTGGTTTGCTATTGTTGTAATTTGGATGACTAGAGTTGTGCTCACAACCTTGGACAATGAGGCTTCGCACTCTGAATACAAACATGTTCTGGTACAGAAAGCAATCAAGTGTTCAACGATGGCAAGAAACCAACATTTAATCTAAAAAGAAAGCCCCAAACATTCATCAGCACGTGTGTTTCAGTATGAAAAAGATAAAAAGATTCAAACCCAGGTTAGTCCCAATTTGATGTTTTCTGAATTGATGTTGACGAAACACATTTGTTTGCCATGGTATCTTTTGTTTTCTCTTCTCACCATCTCAGTAAAGATTAAATAGACTTTTTTAAAATAGATTTTTCAATGGACACAAAGACTTGTGTCTTGGCTGTAAACAGTCTAATCTAAAAGAACAGGAACCATCCTTTGCTCTATCCTGACCTGAGATCCAGCTGTATGCTGATGACAGAGTTATTTAATAGTTGCACAGAGCACCAAGCTGCTTCCAAACTTCCTGGTACAATCGGCTATATTATAATAAAACTAAATCCATAATGTCTAAATTTGGACGGTCAGTAGGAACACTCCTACCAGATTTAGAGCATGATTGATTGGCATTAATCTTACCAAGAAAACTCTTAAATTCATTTATTCACACGTATCTGACATGTAAGGCCATCATGAGAAACCACAGTTCTTACGACCAGGCTACATTTTTATAGAAACACTAATAAAGTGCTCACTTTTACACAGTTTATCTCTTAAAACACACTCCTGTCAGTTTCTGCCAGTCGTTACAGAAACAAAAATGTTGCAGGGACCATTTTCTGGCTACAGGACCAAAAAAGTGAGTGATGACTTTAACCGAAATAAACTAATGTGAGAGAACCTTAAAACGGTTTAAAACTTTTATCATCAGAATGATTTCGCTGTTCAACCTGTGATCATAAAGACTGATCACAGTCTTTATGATCAGTGATGCACAGCTAGGCTTCACCTTACCAATGAAATTCTTTAACATCTTGACAGACTGATCAACCAGTCCTCCCCTCTCTGCTTCTGGATCTTCCTGGTCAGAAAGTCATTTGTCAGTATTAAGGGGGATCATGTCAGGAGCCACCGTAGGTACCAAGGTTAGGACACAGCAGTTGAGTAAACATCAGTTGGGGTATCGCTTTCAGTCTGGCTGCTGGCCTCACCTCAGAGTAAACACAGGCAGCATCTGAGTTCTGCTGTCACGTATCAAACTGACATACGAATGTGCAAAAAAAGGAAAAAAAGAGAAAAAAAACTTCTGACTTGTGCCACTGACTGTAGAGTAGACAGATCATGGCTGGGGTGTTTATGTCTCCTCTAGGATCCTGTCTGAGTGGAGGCTTCGCTGCAGGTCAACTTGTGACCTGCTGGACATGAAAGTTCCCCCAAACTTTAACCACAGACAAGAAATATTTACATGTTTGTCTAATTAAAATACTGGCATTGGGTTCCATTAAAACACACCTAAAATGACTTTAGTGAAGCTAAAACACTGCAGCAGGAAGTGTTAAATGATATAATTCAGTGTTCAATATCCAAAAACTGTATCCAAGGATGTGAGCACAACTCTAGTCATTCAAATTACAACAAAAGCAAACCAAAAGCCAACTTTCCAAACCTGACATTCAGAAAAAATCTATACTTAGAAAGTCTGGTACTGGTACAAAATCATGATTTGATGTCAGATCTGTGGTTAAAGATCCAGCAATCTTAAAATGTTTTTCCCATTCAATGAGTCAATCAGAGAAAACGTATCCTAGTTGTGTTTCTGAATTCCCTATCCACTCTTTAAAGCTAAAAAGAGGAAATGAACAGAAAGGTCATGACCTTGTTGCGACCATCCTTTTGCAGTTCTGAGTCTGTCATTGAATCAGCGAGTTAATCCAATCTTGTCAGGACCTAAAACACTCAGGGGAAAACAACTTCACTCCAAACAATGCGGACTTCCCTGTGTTGTTTTGAGCGACTTTCAGATTTCAAAAGGACTCTATGCAGTGCTGTGGAATTTGAAAATTAGCCCACTGCTGCTAATCACAGATGATTAACTGATCATCAGCTTCTGTAACCACATCTATCAAAGCAGATGTTTTGGCACTTTGTTGGTCTTAAATATTCACGTGTATATTAACACAATGCCACAATCTTTTAAGGTTTGGACTTGTCAGTAAATTTGTCCCAAAGTTATATCGTGCTTAAGTTGCAAATAACCTCAGACCTCAGAAAACTGTTAAATGTTAAATTTCATGAAAATACAATCAGAACTAGACTGAATGAGTATAGCTTGTTTGGAAGGGTTGCCAGGAGAAAACCTTGTTTCTCTATAAAGAGCAAGGCAGCATGAATTAGGTTTACAAAGCTGCATCTGTCATGGTCCCTGTGCCTCCCCGGCCAGCCCAGTGTGGCCACAAGTGTTTGTTGTTTCTCTCTCTCTCTCTCTCTCTCTCTCTCTCTCTCTCTCTCTCCTACCTGTCTGCCTGGGCGGAGCTCTGATTGGGCTCCCGCCCTTGGCCCACGCACCTGCAGCTGATCTCGAGTGATTTGCAGTTGATCTCTGGCTCTTCTTAAGGCTGGGGCTCTGAGCTATTCGTCGCTGGAATATTGAGTAACCCTCGTCAGTATTGCCTGGCTTCATTGTGAATCAGTTGTTCCCGTGCTTGCCGCCGACTTACCCTTGTCTATGTTTATAGGTTTATCTGGACCCGGCTGTTTTGACTCCTGGACCCCGTGAGTGTGAGTGGGTTGCTCGTGTGAGGAGTGCTTGGACAAGGAGCGGAGCAAGTGTGAAGAAGTGTGTTTCCCCGGCCTATTGATCCCCGGGACCCTGGTGTCAAAATTTGTTTCAGTGCTACAACTTTACCGTCTTCCAATTGGGATCAAAAAGGCCAAGACGAGCTGCTTTTCATGAATAACTTGATGAAACCTGATACGTCACATTGTTTGTTGTTGTTCTAATTTGGCATTGAACTTGGCATCCTCCTGCATGTCTGTGACTCACTGTTTGACACTAAACTATCACGTTTCCAAAACAGCAGTGACTCTCCACATGGCCGATGAAATATTCAATGATGCTTGGGTTTCAGTTCTTCTCCGGCCTGAATCCAGCAGCTTTCTCTCTGGCGTCCCGTGAGGCAGTGGCCACAAGAGCATCAGCGTCCTCCGCAGTTTGGCCCTCGTCAGTCAGAAGCGGTCCCCTGAGATCCATTTATAACCCCAACCCAGGACTCGCAGGGCAGCACATATTCTCCTGCACTTCTCTGCAAGTGTTAAAAGAGGGGTTCTTAAAAATGGTGCAGCCATGTATGCCGGCTCAGAGCTTTAAATGAGCTTTCATCGAGATGGGGGTCGACTTTTCTCTCCTTACATCCAAAAGCACTCAGAACCAAGGCCAGCCACCTGCTGACAGGTCAGCTATCCTCGAGGATTTCTCCTGTGGTGATGTGTGGCATTCAGTGGAGAGCACCGATCCACTGCCGGAGGTTGTGTATCACAAACGACGAGATTATAAATCATAAGATTAAAAAAAAAAGTTTAAAAACTGGTTTTCAGCAATTTGAAAAAGATTTGAAAATAAGATCAAAACTGGTGAAAACTAGATGTGACAAATTCAAAATAATGATATTCTTACATAGACTGTATATAAAAGATGGTTTTGGACTCCACATTCTGAATGGCCGTTGCCGTGTTGTTGAGTTTCAAAATTATTGACCAAAATGTGTAAAATTGCAAACAGTAATAATAGTACAGGTGTATATTCTGTATACATTTATTCTCAAGGAATTCCCAAATTTTATTTATGAGTTTGAACTTATTAAATGAAGCTTATGCGTAAGTTCAATAAGGAAAATCGATGGTCTCCTAGGTGTTGCTGGCTGAATCCAAGCTTCACATCGCTTCCACCTTCCCATGCTGTCAAGCTGTTTGGGACATCACTGGTCTTGTCCAATCATATTTCTCCCAGCCTTCTTCAGGCCAATCAGCAGTCATGCCACGTACTTTAAATCTGCACATCGGTCATTCTACTTTGCAGACGCCTTCGTGCAATGGTGTGTTGGTTGCTTTCAGTTCTAGGGCTGTCTTTCCTCTTATCAATGATGTCTGATTCTGCAGCTGACATGTTCGAGGATACCTCCTTTACGGGTTCCCTTTCCAGGAGGAGGAGCTCTTTCATTGCTTCCCATCAACAATCTGCTATGACAGTGGTTCCGAAAGTGGGGAGCGTGCCCCCTAGGGGGCGCAGTGCCATTGCGGTGGGGGGAGGCAGTATGAATAAAAAAAAAGCATAATGGACAGGTTTTTTGACGGGGCTCCCACACAAACGCAAAGCAGAAGATGAAGCATTGCTAAATATGCTTCCAAACCAACTTCCTTTCAAGCCAAAGTCTAGAAAATATGATTAAGCATATGTTGCCTTTGGCTTCACCTGCAGAACGGTGGTACCAAGTGTGGGTTTCAATAATCAATTTTCCAATCGATTTATTAAAAACTGAATCGACTTTTGAATATAAATGTATTTTGCCCAAAACTTCAGAATCTCAGGTCAAAGCTCACAAAACTTTTTCAACAACCATCAAACAGCTAAAACAGTAAATGAGAGCAGGTACACGGATTCCACACCGACGTAAACACAAGCGCGAACCCGACGCATCAGAATCAGTGAGATGTTGGCTTTCTCACCCGGCGACACGCACAAGCCGTCGGTGCTGAAAGCCGACATCTCACTGATTCTGTTGCTGCACGGTTTGTCACTCTCCAATCAAAATTCACTGAACCAGCAGCAAAAGAAGATCATTAATTCCCTCTTACTTTTGCTATTTTGCTTCCACCACAATAAAATCACACTTCCTGCACAGCTCTCTCTCTCTGTGTAATTCAAAAACAGTTTCCCATCTAAAAATCTCAGTTTTTTCCATTATTTGCTTGCTTATTATGCACGAGTCTACCGTTGTGTACTGGGCTGTCGGCCGCTGTATTTTATTTTATTTTTTCAAGAATGACCTCTGACGAGAAAGCCTCATTTCTGCTGTTCAATACTGAAGAAATGTAAACTTTTTAAAATTATGTCAAACAACAAAACACTGAGCTGTGTCTCTAATAAAACTTTGCTCTGCTTCACTTCAGCAGCATCAGGTAATGTTCATGTGTTGATTCATTGTTTTCTTCAGTTTTTCATCTACTGCAGAACATTTTTAAGGTTATCTGCTATAAAAAGCCAGGCCAAGAAAATCTGCTTCAATGTTTTTCTGTTTTATCCTCAGTTACTATGACACAAAGACATCTGCTGTGACGCTTATACCTCTGATGAAATCTCACAAGTGTCAGTCATGATAAATGATCAGAATTATAATATTTCTGACTGTCTGAGTCAAAATGGAATCGAATCAGAATCCAATTGATTATGAAAATCAGTGACGATGCCCTGCCCTAGTGCCAAGGCAGGTCTCCCTGACAGAGAGGCATTTTTTAAGAAATGTTGATAGCAGTGTTGATTATTCTTACACAAAAAAACCCAACTACACGAACAATAATTACACCATAAAGATGGTTTGTTCTTCTGTTATTTAAAAGAGGTAGTGGTTTATTTTATTGCTGTAACTGTAACTTTTTGATTTTCTTGTAAACAAAAGGGGGGAGGCTAGCAAGGAAAGTCTGAGAACCACTGTGCTATGATAAATCCTCTCACCTGCCAATATCAATCCAGTTCCCAGCCTCAGTTCAATTACAGGAGCTTGTTGCTGCATCAGCCACTCCAAGGAGTCACGTCTGCCCTTCTCTTCCTCAGGCCCTGTCTCCTGGTGCTTCTGCTCGACTCCATTCTTCAAATGAACATAAAAGAACCAGGAAGTACAGCTATCACAGTCTGCAGTTCTTGCTGCCAAGGCTGGCAAAAGCAGTTATTAGGTTATCTTTATCAGGTTATCTTTCAGAAACTGTATTTGCATTCGGGCTCTTTCAGTGCTGAGTGTTGACTACAGCTGCTCAAGGCAGAGCAAGCTATTGGGTGAAGGTAAGTACAGAAACCTGCATTTCTCTGCATGTGTACATTTAAAAAATGAACCAGCAGCAAGTCCTCCAAGCACACGCACACTAAATATTGCTGTATTTAATAGTTTGAACTTATCCCAGAAGAAAGCACCATTAGGAAATATAGACGACACCTCGTATTTACACCATTCCAAAACAACTGAAGCTGAACGTATAACTTTATACAGAAAAAACCTGTGAGCTTCACATAATTCAGACAGTTTTTTAAAGCTGGAAAACAAAACTCTAAAAGCCCAAATCCTTTTAAGGATCTGCCACAAATGTTTTTTCTTAAATGTTTTCGGAAATCAAACATCTGGTACAATTTGTTCCTGAAGTTTGAACAGCCCAGCTGTTGCCCTGGCCATGACAGAGGCATGTCTCTGTGGATGGCAATGTTAATATCTCAAACTAACACATGGACCACCATGACATTTTCTAGAAATGGGTCCCTTGAAGAATAATCTTACTGACTACCCAAAGACAGGATTTTACCAACATTTTCGCTCATCCAAATTCTGTAGACGTAGTGACACCACATTTTTAAAACTGGCAAAAATCTCCATGCAGCATAGTTAGAGTTAAAGGCTGCGAGAAAGCTCAAAGCAGCAGAATGTCCTCCATCTGGATGTTTTCACAGAGGAGAGCAAAGCGAGAGAGAGCAGCAGCAGCAGCAGCTTTGTTTATGGTAAAGTACTGACCATGGGTTTTGTGCTACATGCTTTTTTGGGAAAGTTAATTAATTTAGTGATGAAACTGTTAAGTTGTGACACTGAGATGAACAATCACCGCTGTTAGTGAGAGATGTGAAGTGATCTAACTGAGATGGCATTTCCAGATGAAAAGTAAAACACAAAACTGGAATCCATCCATCATATTCTGCCGTTCCAAAGTCGGGTTGCAGTGGAAACAGGGTAAGCAGGTATTGCAGTCCTCCTTCCCAGCAACACTTCCTAATAATAGAACTCAAGGCATTCCCAGGCCAGATGACAGATATAATCTCTCTGGTGGGTTCTGGGTCTACCCCAGGACCTCCTTCCGGTTGGGTGTGTCTGGAAACCTAGAAAGGGATGTGCTCAGGATGCACTTTAATCAGTTCCCCAAATCACCTCGACTGATACGAAGGAGCCAGTTGAGGTGATTGGGCACCTCAACTGGGCTTTGTGTTAAAGGAAGCCCATACTGGAATATTGAAAGCTTTATACCAATTCACTGATTAAAAGTTTTTTTAATTACAATGTTAGTCAAGCTATTATTTATAGCCTGTAAAGAAAAATCCTTAATATTAACTACATTAAATGACATAACAGGAAGCTCTGTGTTGAAATAGGAGTCATGGCTCTGCAGCAGAGAACCGGAATAGTTGCATGATCCCCAAAATAAACCCCAAGGTCTGAATGTCTTCGGTCGGGAATGTGCACTATGGACACCCTCTAAGCCCGGGACCAGATTCCTCCTTAAAATAGCATATTGGGTGAAGAGAGACGTTCTGAAGAGGGAGAGGTGTTCTCTGAAGGTATTTACACTTTACACTACTTCATAGCTTTGGTGGACTGTAATGAGACCCGAGAATATTTGTGAGCAGTGAGACTTTAAACTTTGACCAGCTTTTGCACATGTTGTTTTTGCAAAAACAGCAGAAATAAGTGGGATATATTTTATCTTCTATATTGTAAATTAAGTAAAGATTTTGGACATGTCTAACATTGGTTAATAACAACTTTCCAACAAACAAAGCACATGCCCACACTCTACATCTGTATCCAGCTCATTTAAATCCTTTTTAGCTGTAATACCTCTGCTTTCATGAAGCCTGTGAAGACTATGAGGCTGTTAGTCACACAAAGCAGCCTATACTGGAGATCCAGGGGCCACAGGAAGCAACCTACAACTTAAAGTTATCCTCTCACTGGTTACTCTCAAACTACAGAGACAAAACACTCAGCGTATATGATGTAGGCTTTTGCTAGGTATCTCAGCAATAAAGATGAATGAGCCAGTGTGGGAAATGTCACCTTAAAAGTGGACTGAGAAGCTCTAAAGGCCTAAAAGTCACTTCTTTAACTGAAAAAGGGAAGAAAAAAGAATATGTGGTGCAGGGTTAACATTTTATATTTTTATTTTTATAGAGCAGCTTTACATTATGCACATCTGAAAACTATCATTTTTTATCAGATATTTTTCAGTGTGCATGTTTGAGGTATATTCTTATATTTAACACAGTTTAGCGGACTACATACTGAACTTAGAGGATAGAAACAAAAATATGGTTAATATCACTCTAGTACTGATCTGATATTTGGTTTGATCTGCTTTTCTGTACTTCGTCTGATTAGCTGACTGTAAAGGACAGTAATGCTGTCTAAACCAGGGACACCTTACGTTCATTCTAATAAACCCCACAAGTTCAATCCATTCGAATGCTGCATGAGATGCAAAAGAGGGGAAACCTGGTCAACCAGTTACCATTCTGTGCTGCTCAGGATACAGATGCGTGTGAGTATGGAGTCTTTCTCCCCAGAGTTTTTATTTTTTTTATTTCTTACAATCAACTGTATAATCTACTTTAACCCTCTCAGGCTCAAATTAAGTTTTTGTTGCTAATGCACAAAAGAATACATGCAGTGGTACTTCTGAGTAAAAAAAACTCATAAAATATGTATGTGGGGTAATCAGGTTGTTAGTTTTTAACTGTTGCAAATCTGCAACGCCTGCCTTGAGAGGGTTAAAATACCTGTCAACAGTTGTCATGAACAGAAGATTCTAACAGCAGAAAAATAAGTGACTAGAAGAAGATTACACAAACCCTGTACCTACACCGTTGCCTTAAATGAAAAGTTGAAACTTTCCAGTGACTCCACCAACCTGAT